GTGTTTGTGTAAGTTTGTAGGTAGGTAGGTAGGTAGGTAGGTAGGTAAGTAGGTAGGTTGGTGGGTAGAGTGGGTATGTGCATGTGTGTGTGAGTGTTAGTGTGTGTGCACGTGCATTTGTATGTGTATGTAGGTAGTTGGGTAGTTAGGTAGGTAGGTAGGTAAGTTGGCAGGTATATAGGTAGGTAGAAGTGGATAGATGGGTAGGTTGGTAGGTAGGTAGGTGGGTAGGTAGGCAGGTGGTAGGATATGTGCATGAGTGTACATGTGTCCTAGGTGCTCACCTGTCCATCGACAACGACTGTGTCCTTGTAGCGTGTGGCCATCGCATCAGAATAGACATCTTTCCCCAACCCATGCATCTCCCTCACAAACACCAAGCAGTGACGCTGTGGGGCATCGCTGCCAAAGATCCCAGTTTGAACCTCATGCTCCGTCACTGAAGACAAGAAAGCAAGAATGAATCCAACATGTCTCCAGGAAACTCAAGGTGGGAGGGGGGACTATCACAGTAATGAACATAAAAAGAAACCTTTTGGGGGGGTTATTTTTGGTTTTCCTTAAAAAATATATACGGATTTCATCAGGTTCATCTCTGGAACATTATAATGTCTTACAATAGTATCCATATGTCCCTAAACATCTTATCACATTCTGTCACATTCTTCCACCCATTAGATATTCCACTATATTAAGGTAGACGACTAGATATATTTTCTGACCTCGCACTTTAGAAATATTGTACACAAAAACATAGTTCCACACCTGACATTGTGTAGAAATGCTTTCTCTCCTTTGACAGTCTCCCCTTGCCACAGGCAGAGATAGCAGCCTTATGTATTGAGGTTTCCAGCAGATTGCTGATTTGATTCCACTTTGCAACATCTGCATCTTTCTCTGCCTGTCGCCGGTCTGTGCGGACCAGGAAATTGGGCAGCAAGGTGTTCACTGGCTGCTCATATACGGGACACATGGAAGGAGAGTGAAAGTGAAAAAAAATATAATTATGTTTCTGTGAGCATGTCTATATTTAATTGTCTTGTAGTATTTAACACTGCATCTACATATATATTTGTGTTAATTTGTGAGTATGTAAGTGTATCTGTGGCTTCCACTTTGTCAGTATGTATGTCTGTCTGTGTATCTTTGAATGTGTTTGCATGTGTGTGTGAGCGTGGGAGCGTGTGTGTGAGTGTTTGTGTGTTTGAGAGTGTGTGTGTGTGAGTGTGTGTGTGTGTGTGTGTGTGTGTATGTGTGTGTGTGTGTG